AATTAAACAAACGGAGACGTAACAATATTTTAACTTCTAGACACTGAGTAACAGCCTGAACTATAACTTCAGCAGTGTGAAGTGAGGGAAGCTCAAGGTTTCGAAGAATATAGCTTTTCAAAACCTAATGTTGGTTGATGAAATGAATAGTTTGCTCTAGAGGTTGACATGTCAAAAGTAAGGAACACATCACTTGTCATAGAAAATTGGTCCATAACAACTTCTTGAATGCTGGTGTACAGTATTGGTATAAGTTTCTCACTTAATTATTTCTTTGTCAGCACTTGGTATCTTGGATCAAGAGATTCAACTAATATTAAAAAGCCAAATTCTTCCAGGATTTGAATTGGATGCATACTCTTAGCTATGTAGTTTACTAATATCTCTGTTACTTTCTTCTGCTTTACGTTCTCCTTAGGATATTTAGTATTAGCTGCTAAAGACTTGTGTATAGTTGACTGTCTTTTCAGTGTTATTGTACAGATATTGAACTTGCAGTACTGTAACTGATGTTGCTAGTACTTGATGATTATTTTGAAGATGGTGATTCACTTAAAGCCATTGTTGCTGCTAACCATAACACTTGAACATATCTTCCTAAATGTTTGTAGTATTGCTGCTAAATTTCAGCACTGCTTATAATGTATGCACACATATTTATTATAATGGTCTTCCAAAACTTTATTACCTCATTGCTAAAATTTTTCAACAGCACACCACTCTTTTACACCCCTTCATGTGCTGACTATCCTCCACCAATTATACTGTGCCACCTATACTAGTGCAGGTAGCTCCCTCTACCATTGCAAAACAATCCTCACTTTCTTGATTGGCATTCTAATATATAGAGGTATGTTTTAACTCATTCCCCATGTGACTATGTGATTTTTATTGTGCTTGATCAAAACTTTATATCAGTTTCAACTTCTTCTGTTTGATTTCCATTATTTCTGCTCATTTGTATTAGAAGTATTTTTTGTTTCCAAATTCTATGAACTTGAGATGTAATATGGTGATGTTGAAAAAGTAGAATACTAGTCCTCAGGGCCAATGATGTCTGCTGGGGAAGCACAGGCTTTAGTTCACAAGGAGTTTGTGTCATGCATTTGGCCAACCATTTTTCCTTTCACATTACGATTTTTGTGAAGAGCAATATCACTTCAGTGTGAAAATCGTCTTTCTACATCACTTTCCACCTTTAACCATGCCTCTATGTAATCTCCTGGGTTAAGTGTTGTTCCTTTCCCAGGTGATCTGTGGTAAGTATTTCTCACTACCCGTAGGTATATCCATGTTCAATGACTTTACATGAGCTTGTTTGGATGAATCTAATTTCCACACTTGATAATTTAGGTCATTCATGTCTTCTCTGCTCAGTGTTGGGTAAGTTAGATTTTTATACTTCTTTTACCACCTAGGTTAATTTAGTTTAAACTTGCATTCGGAGTTTAATTATTATTTCTTTTTTGTTTGCATTTTTACTTTATTTTGTTTGTAAGTTCCTTTTTCTTTACTACTAGTCATGTCTAATTGTGGATTAGATTAGAGTTAAACTTTGTTATTGTTAACTGGGTACCTTTTTATTCTCATGTTCTTTAGGGTCAGTTTTATTTTCGTGCCCTTTGTCATATAGATGCTTTGGGTAGACTTATATGTTTGATATCTAAGGGTCACTAAGTTCCTTTAGTGATTTTGGACTTTGGGTGTTACTTATTGTTTTCTGTTTTAGGTCGAATTTTATAGTTTTACAGGTTTTTTATTTTTATGTACTTTGTAGACTTTACAAGTTTCTATGTTTTGTTAGTTCGGTCATAATGAGCCCTTTCTTTCAATATGTTTAGTTTATGTGTCTTTGGCTACATTTCACAACAGTTCCATGGGTTCTACACTGTGGATTTCTGCCTTCTGTTTTACTCCCCCTCTATTCTCTTCCCAGATTCATTTCCTCCTCATTGTCTATTCATCTTGCTGAGTCTGTTCAAAACCTTCTACACAAAGGAGCTATTGATTGGGTGGTGCCCACTCGACTGGGATTTTGCTCCATCTATTTGTTGCCTCCAAAATACACGGAAGATTGGAGTCCTATCATAACTCTTTCCCAGCTGTATTCTTATCTGGTGACACCTCACTTCACTGTATTTGGTCCTGTGTCACATTGTTTTTCTTTGGTCTTTCTTCAGCTCTGTATGTGTTTTGTCGAGTGGTATGCTCTTTTACAAGTTATCTACACTTGCTGGGTCTTCAGGATCCCTATTACATGCTCACCTCTTCCTGTGCCCAGTCAGTCAATCACACCCTCTTATTTCCTTGAGAAAATGCTTGGTTGGGGTTTCTCATCAAGTTGGAGAAGTCCTTTACTACCCCCTCACAGTATCTTATTCATTTCAGAGTTCTCTTCACTTCCCATCTCAGTCGAATCCAGCTTTCTCCATTTCAGCTCCGGATATGAAGTGAACAGTCATGAAGGCCGTACTTTCTCCATCTCTCTCTTTTGGGGATGTGGGTTTCCTTGTAAGCTCTCATTCCCTTAGGTCGGGTGCACGTGCATTCCATTTATTGGATGCTTTTCACCCAGTGAAACTTCTCCAAAGGTCCCTTGGACCATCCCATCTCCCTTCCACTCGAGTCACATCTGTTTATAGATGCTCCTTTGGTGGGCTTTTCTTGATTCCCCAGAGATTTCAGGTTGGTAGTCAATTATGGATGCTACTCTCCATTTCCATATCTTGGAACCTATTGCAGTTCATTTGGCTCTGTATCATTCCCTCCCGTTCCTGCAGGGGTGGATGGTTATGGTTCATTCTGACAATTCTGCTGTCATCAGCTATATTACCAAACAAGTGGGGAACCAAGTCCAGGTCTCTATGTTTTCAGACTTTGGATCTCCTGTACTAGACCACCAACCACAACATGTTTACAGAGTTACTCTACATATATATGCATTTCCCACTCACTGTAATGCCAAATTTCCTTCCTTTTTGGTCTCCAGTTCCTCACCTCTCAGCTCTGGGGGTGGATCCTTTCAGTCCAGATTGGAGGAGTCTTCACCTATATGCCTGTTCTCTGATCAGACTCCTTGCCTGGGTCTTTTTCCTTATCCAGATCACTCCTTGTTGTTTTCTGCTGGTTGCACCATACTGGCCAGCTCAGACATGGTTTCCTCTGCTCTGGCCTTTACTGGAGCTACAGCCTCTACCCTTATTTCTGTCCTGATCTATTTCTTCCCATTCTGGTATAAGGTCATCATTGTTCCGATGTATATATGCCATTAACGTTTCCTGCATCCTTTACTATTTCTTGTATGTTATCTGCTATATGAATTAAGCTGTCCTTCCCAGGACATTGGCTGCCTGGGAATGTTGTTGGGCCTCTTCTCTTATTTCCTTATCTTCCTTTTCCCTCCTGTTTTCCCATTTGGATCTGGATTGTCTACTTTGTCCAGTTCATTACCTGCTACATTATATAGCTCATACTGCCTTCTTTTGTGGTTCTCAAAACTTGGTTAAAAGTTT